TGTGGGTGCGGGTCACTCCCCCCCCCTCACCATCCCAGCCTCCACGCGTCTCTCATCTGCCGTGTGCTCTATCACCCCTCACGAGCTCCCACCAAACAGCTGGTACTTAACCACCTGACCCACACCACTGACCTTCTGCGTGTGCGATATCCAGCATGTAAGATGATTATAAGTGGTGATTTTAATGAAGTAGATACCCTTAACCTGCAAAATGAGCTTCATCTACCATATTCTGTCGGCCGTAGCAGACACGTTTCAGTGTTATGGCTGCTCTCACCCACCGTCTCTCAGCCAAAGGAGACAAAAAAAAAACAAAAAAAAAAACAGGAAATACAGGCCACTCAAACAGTCCTCAATCATACAGTTCGGGCAGTGGGTTACCCAACACCCGTGGACAGACGTTCATATCGCTGTTGATGTGGAGGACAAATGGCTTTTCACCACTTCTTCCCGGAAAAGACACTCAGCACACACCCATCGGACCTACCTTGGATCACGTGCCGGATCAAACGCTTCATTCTACCACACATTGCCTCGTCAGCTTCCTTGACTTCGTCCTTGCCCACCACGACAAGCGCAAATCCTCCGTCACCAGCACCTTCATAGATTTCAAGAAAGCCTTCGACCTGGTGGACCACGCCGCGGTCGTCTCAAAAGCAGCAGCTTCCACGGGCATCAGGGAGTGCCTCATCCCCTGGCTGGCAGACCTTCTCTCCAACAGGCAACAAGCCGTGCGCGTCAGGTCAAGTTTCCAGCCTCCTGCCACTCACGTGCGGAGTACCCCAGGGGACTAGAATGGGCTCCCTGTGCTTCCTCATCATGATTAACGACACCGAACATCGCTGGAAATACGTGGATGACTCGACCATCGCCGCCGCGCCTTCCAGCACACCCTCGACAACCTCTTCGCCTGTGCCACCGCAAATCACGTCACTCTCAACCGCCAGAAGTCGGTCGTGATGCAGTTCGACTTCTCCACCAACTCCGCCCCGCGCCCATCCTCAGCTGGACGACCACCCGCTCGACGCAGTCCGTTCCATTAAGCTGCTCGGCGTCGTCATCGACGATAAGCTCTCCTGGACGCAGCACGGCAGAGACATCGTGAGGTCTGCCTCGTCCACACTTCCCATGCTGCGTCGCCTCAAGTCCTTTGGCGGTCCACTTTCGGATCTTAAAAAATATCCACAGGCTATTCATCCTGCCCAAAATGACCTGGTCCTCCTCCTTCACTTCACAGTTATGACAGCGCCTTGACTGCCCTAGGCCTCACCTCCCACGCCACTCACTACACCACCTCACTTCAGCAGTTTGGCCTCAAGCAGCAGTGTCATCCACGCCACCGCGACCTGCTGCCCCTCGACGCGCCGCCGCCTCGCCGAGCCCTACGCGTCGCCAACGATGCGATTGCGATTCGCGAAGTTCTAGCTTCGCCCGGGCCTTCGGCTATGGCCCGGCCTGTGTCAGCTTTTTAGGGCTGACTCATTTAATTCTGTGACACTCGGCGCTTACCGTGGCGGTGGGTTTGCCAGCAGGCGCTCTTGCTGCCACGGGGTAAGCGAATCGCAAAGCCGCCAACAAACCGGTGCCCATCAGAGTCCGCACTGCCCGCTACCACCGGAGCACAATACCCGCTATAGTCCGACTCATCAACGAGCACTAGTCAATGGACCGCCCACAACACCTCTTCCACGAGCACTAGTTCGCTATTACTAGTCCGGCACTCTTAGCTTTCCTGTACTTTTGTCTTTTGTTTTTTGTTTCCCTTGCCTCTAGTTGTTATTTTCCCTATAGATTGTTATTTTAGTTTGTTGTTTATATTTGTTTATGTATATATAATTTGTCTTTTTATCTGTATTTCTATGTATATTTTCAGGCCCTGACTTTATGATTCAATAAAATTATTATTATTATTATTAGTAGTAGTATCATTATTATCATTACTATTACACACAGACACATATACACATGTGTGTGTGTTTGTGTGTGTGTGTGTGTGTGTCTGTGTGTGTGTGTGTGTGTGTGTGTGTGTGTGTATGTATGTATGTGTGTGTGTGTATGTATGTGTGTGTATGTATGTGTGTGTGTATGTATGTGTGTGTGTGTATGTATGTATGTATGTGTGTGTGTATGTATGTGTATGTATGTATGTGTGTGTATGTATGTATGTATGTGTGTGTATGTATGTATGTGTATGTATGTATGTGTATGTATGTATGTGTATGTATGTATGTGTATGTATGTATGTATGTGTATGTATGTATGTATGCATGTATATACATACTGTATATATGTGTGTGTGCATGTATTATGTACATATAGTACATACACATACACATACACACACACACGCACAAACACACACACATATATATATATAGTATATACATATATAATATATATATATATATATATATATATATATATAAATATATATATATATATATATATATATATATATATATATATAAATATATGTATATACATGTATATATGTATATAAGTACACACACACACACACACACACACACACACACACACACACACACACACACACACACACACACACACACACACACACACACAGATATATATATACACATATATATGTATATATGTATATATATGTATATGTATATATATATGTATATATGTATATATATATGTATATACATGTATATATATATATGTATTTCTGTATATATATGCATGTATATACATCTATATATATGTATATATATGTATACATATGTATATTTGTATATATAAATATGTATGCGCGCGCGCGCGTGTGTGTGTGTGTGTGTGTGTGTGTGTGTGTGTGTGTGTGTGTGTGTGTGTGTGTGTGTGCACGTACATACGCACGCACGCACGCACGCACGCGCACACGCGCGCGCGCGCACACACACACACACACACACACACACACACACACACACACACACACACACACACACACACACACACACACGCATACCTATACATTAAGGTTAGTTTAGCATGATTACTCCAGAGAACAGCAGATCACTTCACCTTTTCCTCCGCAGCAAGAGAAATCCCTCCCTCGAGAAACGGCAACCCCAGACGCCCTCAGCCACACCAGCAAAGAGCAGGTGAAGCACTCAGGTGAACAGTGCAAAGTCAGTGAAGGACCCAGGTGAACAGCCCGGCGCAGGTGAAGCACGCAACGGCCACCGAGAGGAAATGCGCCACACACGTCTGCCTGAGAGCGAGGAAGGCGGAAAACTGTGCTGATAATGCGGGCGTGTTTGGGACCAATCACGAGGCACCTCCTTCGCTCTTATCGGAACTTCGATGTAATTGACAACTTCTTGGTGAAGGTAAAACAAAAGCCAATTCCTTTGTAGAGTATCATGATTCATGGCCGATTACTCCCCTAATAAATACTCCTTCTGTGTATCTGTTCACCCTCTATTTATTTTGCTTTTTTACTATCTTTAGCATCAGATGGTCTTACGTCATTGGCCGTCATTGGGCAGCTGATACGGACATCATGAAAAGCTAATAACAACTGACAGAAGCTAATGCAGAGTGACACATTACAGGATAAATAAAATACCGGGACACGAAGCCAACAGAAATTAGGGCAAATGTCAAATTTCTCTGGATTTAGTTACGTATATCTAGTAAATCGACCATAAATTAAGATTACAGGATTTGAAGGCGGTATGGAGACACTTATGTGCTCTGGGAATACGGTTTGTTTTCACTGCGATAATTTTAGTGAGGCAATAGCTATAGTGGCAGTAGCAATAACAAAGTAAGCCATTGGAAAGCCATGATGACATTATTATTTATTATCATTTTGAGTTTCTCTCTCTCTCTATTTGTCTCTCTTTGTCTTTGTCTCTATCTCTCTCTCTGTCTCTGTCTGTCTTTCTCTCTGTCTCTCTCTCTTTGCCTCTTTCTTTGTCTGTTTCTGTCTCTGTCTGTCTTTCTCTCTGTCTCTCTCTCTTTGCCTCTTTCTTTGTCTGTCTCTGTCTCTCTCTATCTCTCTCTCTCTCTCTCTTTGCCTGTTTGTCTCTGTCTGTCTCTGTCTGTCTCTGTCTCCACATAACATCCGCATCCATGGGTTTGGATGTAAAAACGATGCCGATATCCGCGGATGCAAATGTGGTATCCGGTCCACCAATATCTATCTATCTATCGACCTGTCTATCTATATATCTATATACATACCATATGCAGGTTATGCTATAAGCGTCTCGATTCAAAGCCCCACTTGACCTCCTCTGCTGACGACGCTTCAGAGAATTCGACTGCAATTGGGACATTATGCAGGCATGAATGCACACAAATATTATAATTCACTCTGGTCTTATAGAATTCGACACACATATATTCGTATATATATATATATATATATATATATATATATATATATATATATATATATATATATACACACACAGATATATGTGTATATGTATATATATGTATATATGTATATATGTATATATATGTATGTATATGTGTATATACATAAATATATATGTGTGTGTGTGTGTGTGTGTGTGTGTGTGTGTGTGTGTGTGTGTGTGTGTGTGTGTGTGTGTGTGTGTGTGTGTGTCTGCGTGCGTGTGTGTGTGTGTGTCTGCGTGCGTGTGTGTGTGTGTCTGCGTGCGTGTGTGTGTCTGCGTGCGTGTGTGTGTGTGTCTGCGTGCGTGTGTGTGTGTGTCTGCGTGCGTGTGTGTGTCTGCGTGCGTGTGCGCGTGCGTGTGCATGTACGTGTGTGCGCGTGCATGCGTGCGTGTGTGTCTACATGTAAATATTTTTTTTCAGTGTTGAATTTGTGCCTTAAATTCTTCCACACAAAAGTGAATATTCATCTTTCTCCCCGTACCCTTTCTCCGTGACATTAAAACCAAACGATAAAGACTGTTTCTGATAAGGGGTAGATAAAGGAATAAAGAGCATTACAGATGATAAGAGAGTGAGAGTGAGGGAGGCAGAAAACAGACGCAGCATCGACGATTATTAAGTTATCTGTATCTTTGTGTTTCTTACACCAGGCAAGCATTTTCTGCCAGAGCATGACGTGAGATGGTGACGCTCGCTATCATGCGCTTCTTTATCTGATAACCATGCGATGTCATTATGTATATATATTTCTGTGTATATATATGTATATATAATATATATGTATATATATATGTATATATGAATAATTAATATATATGTATATATATGTATATATGTATATATATGTATATATATAATATATGCACATATTTACGTATATATAATATGTAAATATATGTATAATATAGATACATATACACATACGAATATATATATACATATATATATGTATATATGTGTAATATACACACACACACACACGTGAACGCAGTGCTGCTACTTTCCACCGTCGCCTGAGAGATAGCAGCCTGTTCTCCGGAGGCGAATCTCTACCAGAGCTTCATCAACCCTCGACTCACTCACTTCCATGGGCTTCCTAGAACCCATAAGCCGGCCGTTCCTGCGCGCCCAATCATCTCCTCCCGAGGACCTGCGACGCACCCTCTTGCGGCCTGGCTGGCGAAGTCTCTCCTTGACACCTTCTCTCGTCCGCCACTCTCAGGACTTCATCTCCCGTGTCTGTGGTGTCTCAAGACACCACAGACACGGGAATTTTCCTGTAGGTATCTGTAGGTACGTAGGTACGAAGTGCGTTGGAGTGGGTTGTGGTAAAATTGAGGAACCATGTGGATAGCAAGTGGGTTGTGGTGGACCGGAATGAGATGGAAGACGTATGTGGATTGATGTGGATGTATTAGAAGCCCTTGGGTGGACCAGGCGGATGAAAAGTGGAGGGATTGAAATAGGGTGAGTCTCTCTCTCCCTATTTTTTATTCATATTTCTCTGTTCCTTTTATTTGTCTGTTCGTTTATAACAACGGTAATTAATGATAGAATAATAGTGAGGATGACTGTGATGAGGATGATAATGATAATGATAATGTTGTTCATGAAGATAATAGATATAATGTTTATGATGATAGTAGTGTAAGTAAGCAATACCAACAATAACATAAATGAAGATTATACTACTACTAATAGTAACAACAGCTACACTAATAATAAAAATAATAGTAATGATAATGGTGCTAATAATGATGATAGTAAAAGTCACAATGGCAATAATCTTCTGCAATTATTTTCACCATTAAGAGGCTTCAGGAATTTAAACACAAAGATGAATTTCAAGGTTAATGAACCACGCCTTTAAACGGATAGAATAAAAGATAGTAAGAAATAAACCCCAATAAAGAATATATATATCAAAGGAGAGGAACATATCTTAAGAAACTATAGAGGGTACACAGAGTGCTCTCTTTTCGTCCCCTTAAGTGTACTAAAAAAAATACAATTCCCTCCCTCCCCACCCCCCAACCCATTCCCATAACAATAAAAAAGATACAAAAAAAAAATATTATTTTTTTTTGGCAAATGGCATTTTTAACGATTTATTAATTACTATTATCATTATTACTACTACTATTATCATTATTATTTTACATCTAGCTTCAGTGCATTTTTATGATGGTTGGGGCATTTGAAGGTAAGGTACGCCAAGAAGAGGGAGGAAAATGGAAGGAAAGTAGAGAGGGAGGGAAGAAGGAGAAGGGAGGGAGGGAGGGAGGGAGGGAGGGAGGGAAGGAGAAGGGAGGGAGGAGGGAGGAGGGAGGGAGGTGAGAGGGAAGAAAGAGGATGGGAGGAGGAAAAAGGGAAGATGGAGGGAGGAAAGAGGGAGGAAGATGGAAGCAGCAAAATGGAAGAAAAGATGGAGGGAAAAAAGAAAGTAGGATAAAGACTAGGAGGATGAGAAGGAGGGGCAGGAGAAAGAGGAAAAGGAGTAGAGTGTGAAAGAGGAAGATATGAAAAAAAGAAAGTATGGAAGACAGTGGTTTGGAAAAAGGGGAGAAAGAGAGGACAAGAAGAAACGAAAAGAGAAAATGAAAGAAATGAGGAGTAGGGTGAGGCGGAGAAGGGAGAAAGAGCTAGAACGTAGGAGAAGAATCCGAGCGAAAAGGAAGAGAGGAGAAAGAAAATCAACGAGGATCAAAGAATAAAAAATCTGACTGCATTCTGGGCCTCCAATTCAACCACAAATACGTCTTCTCGTTTTGCTTGAGATAAAAAAAAAAATATTATTTTTTTTTGGCAAATGGCATTTTTAACGATTTATTAATTACTATTATCATTATTACTACTACTATTATCATTATTACTACTACTATTATCATTATTACTACTACTATTATCATTATTACTACTACTATTATCATTATTACTACTACTATTATCATTATTACTACTACTATTATCATTATTACTACTACTATTATCATTATTACTACTACTATTATCATTATTACTACTACTATTATCATTATTACTACTACTATTATCATTATTACTACTACTATTATCATTATTACTACTACTATTATCATTATTACTACTACTATTATCATTATTACTACTACTATTATCATTATTACTACTACTATTATCATTATTACTACTACTATTATCATTATTACTACTACTATTATCATTATTACTACTACTATTATCATTATTACTACTACTATTATCATTATTACTACTACTATTATCATTATTACTACTACTATTATCATTATTACTACTACTATTATCATTATTACTACTACTATTATCATTATTACTACTACTATTATCATTATTACTACTACTATTATCATTATTACTACTACTATTATCATTATTACTACTACTATTATCATTATTACTACTACTATTATCATTATTACTACTACTATTATCATTATTACTACTACTATTATCATTATTACTACTACTATTATCATTATTACTACTACTATTATCATTATTACTACTACTATTATCATTATTACTACTACTATTATCATTATTACTACTACTATTATCATTATTACTACTACTATTATCATTATTACTACTACTATTATCATTATTACTACTACTATTATCATTATTACTACTACTATTATCATTATTACTACTACTATTATCATTATTACTACTACTATTATCATTATTACTACTACTATTATCATTATTACTACTACTATTATCATTATTACTACTACTATTATCATTATTACTACTACTATTATCATTATTACTACTACTATTATCATTATTACTACTACTATTATCATTATTACTACTACTATTA